GAGCAGGATGTGCTGCACGCACCGGGGGTCTCGAGCTCACGGGTAAAAAAAAAAATGAGGAGGGGTGATGAGGGATGCGGGAGCGGATGCGCGCGGGGCTGGAAGAAGCAGCAGCCGCCGACTGTCGTAAAACTGAGCAAAGAGGAAGACGGAGAAGGAGAGCAGAGGAGAGAAAGCGGATCCAATGCGGAGCGGTGCAATAAAAGAATATGACGGCAATAAAAGTTTATAGCGTATACATTTCTGAAGGTTAAGAACTAAACGGCTGTAAAGCAAACACGCCGAAAGAAAGAGAAGGAGGTGAGGAAAGACACAGAGAGAGGGAATATTAGAGGGAAAGTTTCAAACCCCCCTGCTTCATTATTTATTTACTTGTTTCTGAAGAGCAGAGAACATGTCAGTTAGACTTCCTCTAACAATACAAAGTGAGGAAAGGCCTGGATGTTCTAAGTAGGCTACATGTTGGGATGTTCCTTATTTGATTTTGTGGAACTGTTGTGTTGCAAGGGGAAACGTCTCCTTCCTCCTCCTCCTCCTCCTCCTCCTCCTCCTCCTCCTCATTCTTTCAGTTTTGGGACTTTTATGCTTTTGTTGCCGTTTGGCTCAATTGGGGTATTTTCGCAGTGTGTGTGTGTGTGTGTGTGTGTGTGTGTGTGTGTGTGTGTGTGTGTGTGTGTGTGTGTGTGTGTGTGTGTGTGTGTTTTTTTTCTCTTGTCCAACCTCTCTTTGTCTCACTCAGATGCATCCTACTATCTACAATAAAAACACCCAGACGGATGACCCCGCAGACAGGGTGAGCTGTGGCCGGCTCACACGCTTCTTTTCCGGCCTGAGGCTCAGCGGACCTCGGTGTCTGTGATGTTGGAACATGGACACATCCATGCTGTCTGAAGGGCTATGATAAGTTTGCAGGACTTCATGTGTTCATATGTATACTACATGTATATATAGGCCTACTGTATGTGTTCTCCGAAATTATACATACTGTTCTGTAATGTAATTATCTGTACTATTTTCCAGTAGGCTATATAATAATGACTAAAGTTCTGCTCTTTATTGTATACTTATACATATTATTACTGTTCATACTTTAGCATTTCATATCTGTCATATTCATATACTTTACATCACTGACTATACATATTATGCACGTTATTGCTTCTCTTGCAGTTGGTTAGAAGTGTCCCAGGACTCTGCCAATGACATTAAAGTTTAATCTAATCTATTTTTATAATTTTTTCTTTATTTATATTGTAAATGTTGCGCTATCTCCCCTGTTTCCACTGGTGTGATGCTGTATGCACGTTGTTTTCCGCAGGGGTGAAACTGAGGATCTGAGCTGCATTTTCTTTGGATGACAGTAACAGCCGCTTTTACAGTCCGTTTACAGCCTGTAATTTAGCAATCTGCACAAACGAGACACACACACACACACACACACACACACACACACACACACACACACACACTTAAAAGCAACCATCATCTGAGTAACAAAACGTGTTTATTTGGGATGAAGAGAACTTTACAGCGGGGATACACACAGTTTCTTTGTCCGCTTTATCACATGAACTCTGATTTCTTTCTTCGTATCTTTAAATGCAGCGATCCATAACAGATTTTCAGAATCTCCTAAAACCAAACAGAAGCAAAGACAAAATCAAATAAATCACAATGGATTATGAACCATGTTGTTTAGTGTGTTTGTGATTTCCTTAGACCTTTAGTATTTTTGCTGAAATGTATTATATATGATATTTCCTATATATGTTTCTGCATAATGAGCCAACGGCAAAAAACAAAACATTAAATATATATTGTAATTTTTTAATACACATATTATGTCAAATAGAATGTACAGTAGGCAATATTGTACAAAAATGGTTTCTTACAGTATCAATTTTAGAATCATTATTATTAATAATACTATCCTACTTTTAATTTTATTTTTATTTTAATTTTTTTGGTTTATCTTTTGTGCTGTAATTTTGTTGTGCAGGCTTGTTTGAGAAACAAATTCAAGAAAGTAAGCTTATTACAGAATTCAAATCATTTTAATTTCAATGTAATCTACCTTCGAATTTTGATTTTAATGAAACATTTCCGGTATGTAAAGTTAAGATACATTTAAGACCTGTCTTTATAGCCTATAGTTAACCCAGTATTGCTACTGTGCTAAAATGACGCATACTGTACCATTTTTAACACAATGGTTTGTAGTGTTGAAACTCATTCACTTTATTAAAAATGTATTTTCCTTCAATATTTCGTGTTATGTGACAGATCCGTCTGAATTCCTCTCATTTCAAACCAACCCTCACATCTGGCCTCCAATTACATCCGCAGTTATTTTAAAGCAGCTTTAGCTTTATGTGTGGGTTTAACAGAACCATAAAGCCGAATTACAGGCCAACCCCCCCTCCCCCCTCACACCCGTGGCCTTACCGCAGTCCGCCGCTTGATGGCGCTCGTGCTCCACGGATAAGACCAGACCTCTGAGGCTTTGCTTGCCCTCGTGGAAGACTCTCACATTAAAGGGGGTGAAACTTGCCGTAGCCTACTCCTCTTCTTAATGTGTTTTAAAGGGGGTGTTTCTAAGAAGAAGTGAGGGGATTAGGCCACTTTTTTACTTTGCTTTCTGATATTTGAAGCAGGTCATTTTCACACGGAATTAAGAGGAAGGGTTGAGGCTTTGGGAAATCACAGGCCTGCAGGATATGCTACCAGGAAATTGTTTTTCCTGGTGCAAAATTAACACCAAGGACGTTCACACCTTAGCCATTCTCTCTGTGATGTGTTCAGGTACGGGGAAGGAGTGTGCATGCTTGTGGTTAAACATTTTTCCTCGGGTAACATGTTGAAATGAGTATCTCCACACATACAAAGAGGTTATATGTCCAATGCTGCAGCGGACAAATCCATTCTCTCCACTGTGCAAATGGCTTAATTAGTGCGTATTTGAAGTGACGCATAAAGGCGAGGGGTGAAATCTAGTTTTTGATGGTTTCTTACATCAAATGGGGTGAGTGTGGAATTATTTACGGCTGCTTTGATGTTCATTAAGGCCGCTTCTTGTTATGTGTGTATTCAGTCTAGCTTCCAGGCGCGTGAAAAGTGGTCAGAAAATGTGACTTAAAAAAATAGATTACATCTCACCATGCAGACAGCAGAGCTCATACGCAAACACTTTATTGGAAGGTGTGGGGAAGTTTAAATAAGATCATATTCTTGTCTATAAATTGGAAAAATACTGCAGCAATTACCTCTTGAAAGTCGGGCGTACAATCAGCTGATTTAACACAGCACAGTGTAATAAGGGCAACATTTGGACCTCTTGTGTCAGTGTTATATGATCTAAATAAGCACAATATTGGGTAATATTTGGCTGATATGAGGCTCAAAAATCCATGTTGGAGATAAATTGATTGATCCAGAACAGAATTATCAAAAGAGGAAATCTGACTTAAGTCACTCTTAGGAACCGCCATCACTAATTCCTCAAATTCGGGAACTCCCATGCCTGCTCTACTAATAAAGACTTCATCAAAGTCAAAAATAACTTTTTGTTTCAAAGCGACGGTTGTTCTACAGGACACATAGAACCTTTCCATAAGGTAGACAAGCATTCTACCTCAGCTTACACTGCAGCAGGAAGGATCACAGTCATATGGAAAACAAGGCAAAAATTACAATGAAATACCGGGCAGGGATGAGGCGTTTACGGCCTCCGGTCGCGCAAAGGGCGCGTCGTAAAAACCTCCTTTTTGTTTCTCCGCCGTAAACAAGCAAACACTGGCCGCCCGCTTTATGGAGCTTTAGAGTTTGTTAAAGCGTTTACAGCCACTTTCTCCTAGCCTATTAGCCTCCCCGGCCCTCCTTACATGTTTATGGAGATCATATTTATAAAAGTATACGATGATCAGAACGCGTCCAGGAGCTCGTCTATATCCAGCATTCGGATTAGAATAAGGGGACAAGAAACGGCTCTGACAACTCATTTTAAAATCTCAATTACATTTATAGGCTGGTACTTGTTAAAACCAATACCAATTAGGAAGCCCCCCCTCCCCACCACTACCACCATCTCTATCCTCAGTGTTCACCCCTCTCGCATATAGGCTCCCTGACATTTTCGGGCCTCATTCACTTCAGCAATTAATGAGCCTCCCCCCCCTTCACCTCCACCACCACCAACCACAGTCTCAGCCTCAAAGAAAGAAAAAAGCAATCTCTGCTTGTATGTGCTTGTGTGTGTGCGTGCGTGTGTTTGTGTGCACTTGATCAGATGCAAAGCGGCAGAATTCTCATTAACCCCCCCCATCCACACACACACACACACACACACACACACACACACACACACACACACACACACACACACACACACACACACACACACACACAGTCCTCCCTTCTTGTTTGCTGCATCCATTCTCTTTCACCCCTCTTCTTTTTCTCCTTCTTATTCTTGTTCTACCTATTTGATATTATCACAGGCGCACGGAGCTCCTAGACTCCGGGAGAATATCTAGTCTCGCAGGCGCAAAAAAAAGTGCAATAGACCTTGTGTGTGTGTGTACGTGTGCGCGCTCCCGTGCACGTTTATCTGTGTGCGTGGAAAAGCCAATGGGATGAAAAGCTGATAATAGATGCAAATTATCCCTGAAACCGACATACACTCACACACGGGAGGAGAGAGGGATGGAGAGAGAGAGAGAGAGAGAGAGAGAGAGAGAGAGAGAGAGAGAGAGAGAGAGAGAGAGAGAGAGAGAGAGAGAGAGAGAGAGGGGGAGAAATATGAAACAACTCATTTGCAGAGGAGTAAATCACGGAATACCCGTTTGAGAGCGCGACAGGGCTTACAGCGCTAACACCGGAATTGTGATGCGCACGAGCCCCTACTCCTCTACTTCTCCCTCTTCTTCTTCTTCTTCTCCTTCCTATTCTTCTTCTTCTTCTTCTTCTTCTTCTTCTTCTTCTTCTTCTTCTTCTTCTTCTTCTTCTTCTTCTTCGCTGGAGATTTTATGGAACCGGTGTGATTGTTGTTATTGTTGTCGCGGTGTTTGTGGCTCTCACTGCTCTGGCTGGCTGCCGTTACGCGCACCGTTCGTCTGTTGTGGCCGTGAAGGGAAACACCACAACAACGGTCACCGACACCGGCGGCAGACCTGCCTCACACCCTCTCTCTCTCTCCTTCCCTCCCCTCCGTGTGTGTCTGTGTGTGTCGGTGTTTCTCAGGAAAAAAGGAAAAAGCGCTGAAAGCCGCGGCTCTCTTCCTCCAGCCCCACTCTGACTCTGCCGAGCCAAACTGAAAAACAATAAACACAAAAGATGAGTTCATATTTCGTCAACTCGCTCTTCTCCAAATATAAAAGCGGGGACTCGTTACGTCCGAACTACTACGAGTGCGGTTTCGCGCAGGACCTGGCGGGCAGCCGGCCCACCGTGGTGTACGGACCGGGCTCCGCCGCCACCTTCCAGCACGCCCCGCAGATCCAAGACTTCTACCACCACAGCGCCTCCACGCTGCCCAGCAATCCGTACCAGCAGAGTCCCTGCGCGGTCACATGCCACGGAGAGCCGGGCAACTTCTACGGATACGACGCGCTACAGCGGCAGACGCTTTTCGGGGCCCAGGACGCGGATCTGGTCCAGTACAGCGACTGTAAACTGGGGAGTGCACCGGGGCTCGGCGGAGAGGACGCGGAGGGAACCGAGCAGAGTCCGTCACCGACGCAGCTGTTCCCCTGGATGAGGCCGCAAGGTGAGGACATCCAGACTGGTTCTTTTACAAAATCTTTTCAAAGCAAATCGTGTCCCGCAAAAGTGTCCGTGGTGCTGCTCCAGGAGGGGAGCACAGAACATGTGAGGGAGTAGGAAACCGTGTAAGAAAGTTGGAAAAGTGTTTATAAGCAGCCATTTAAGCAGGCTCCTTTACGCTTCCTGCGTTCAAAGCGCATTTATGGTTTTATTGGCAGCACCAAAATTGTGAATGACTTTAGGGTTTAATTGCCCCGGCCATATACTGGGAGAAAGAGCCGGGAGAGGGGCTCGGAGAGAAAGCGGTCAAACACAGGCAGAGGTGGTGGGGAGGGTGGGGGTCTGTCCGTGAGAAAGCCCTGCTCAGAGGGAGAGGACAGGGAGAGTTGTTGGAGGGTTTTTCCAGCCGAAAAGACTCATTTTAGACATGCAGCTCTGACCCGGGTTAAACTTTTACTGCCTTTTTGTGTGTTGCTTTTACGACTTGCCTGTGGTCTCAGGGATTATTTGGCTACACGGTGGCCAGGTCCCCACAGACTGCAGCCGGGCATGTGTGTACGTGGGGAGGATGTGAGGCTCCGCTCGAATGGATGCCTTTTTCTTCTCTTATAATTTCTCGATTTACCTTTATTTACCACATATTTTACTTTTGTCCTGCATGTGCACTGTCCCTTTGGTGTTTGAAGGCTGTAAATACCCCCACTCTGACACAAAAAGGGCTTCATGCTTTCAGAAGTTAAAAGGGAAATAGTGTTTTTTACTCGCATTGTTAAGCACCTTAGAACTGTCTGATCCAATTATTCAAATATCAAAATCTACAAGTATTGTCTGTGTGCTTCGCATTAATATCCTGTGTGTGCATGTGTGTGCACACTTAGTGGTCTTTGTGTGTTTGTGGCACACACAGCCTGTGAATATGGACCAGGCTCGATTGGATCAGATTATAAATCATGGAGGAATGTCATCTCTCAAACATATTTGCATTATAGGGAAGCTGAAGTAATAATTGATGGCTTAAACCAACACCACAATAAGAGCGATTATGCAAGAAGGCATTTTTTTGTGTGTTAGAGAGACATAGGTAGAGAGAGGGGGGGAGGGAAAGCAGTGAATGGATTGACATGTATAGTAGCCTATTTTGGTTGAGGCCATATTTCTTGTGTGTGTGTTTGTGTGTGTTTGTGTGTGTGTGTGTGTGTGTGTGTGTGTGTGTGTGTGTGTGTGTTTGTGTGTGTATGAGAGAGAGAGAGTTTATTGCTTATGTTGTCGGTTGTATGTGTTAAAGTGGGGCAGCAGACGGGTTATAGCCTGTACAGGACTGTTGTGGCTTCATGATTATGATCATAAAATAGAAAAAATAATAAATAAAATAAAAACCCAGGTCTGTATTTACCTCGAGCTCCACCTCCCTCCCCCCCCGCCCCCCTTATAGGACGTTCACCTGCTACATGTAGCAGTAATAATAACCGCTAATTCATTTTTACGCAAGAAGACATGAACACTTTTGACTATGTAGTGCCTCCCAGCAGTGTGTGTGAGCATGTGTGTGTGTTTTACTCCAGGTTTGCATCCTGTAAATTGTCATAATTTACACATTACAGCATATTTTACTCCGTTTTTGTACTGTCTTTCCACAGTAGTGCAGGGCTAAAACGACTTCTTAAGGGCTCTAGCTCCCCTTCTTCTTCTGCTACGATGACAGTGATTCATAGTGTTCAAACAGTATATGTTATAGTGTATTTAACGGTGTGCCGGCCCGGGTGCAGGCAGCTCCGATCATCCGGGGGCCAAAAAGTCCAAACAGGAGTCCGCGAAAGCTCTGTTCCTGCTCGTGCAATGTTTGATGGGATATTATCGTGGTTCAGAGTGAGGATTTATTAGTGATTCTATAATAGCAGAAACAAGGCGGACTGGGTTTTGTGGGGAGGATGGAGGCGGTTATCCTCCCCGATTACCTCGGAAATCCCCCTTTAACGAGGGGTTCATTTCATAATGTGTCTTATGTGGAGGGATATCGCCTCCTTCACACGTTTTATGATCTCTAACCCCAACACCGAAGGGGGCTCCTACTGGAATATGGTTAAATAGACCCTAACCCCCGAGCTGAAGCTTTAATATCCGAGTTTGATTCTAAACTCAACTTTTTACGACTGTGGTTGGAAATCTGGATAAATCATGTTCTCTGTGAAAAGGCAAATAAAATGTGATCAGGCCGAGGAGTGAATGTCATGGTTTAAGATCCTTCTCCTCGGCTCTCATCGGCATCTGTTGTCGAGTGGAAACCTCGTTTCTTATTCCGGCAAAATGTCAACTGCCACGCATTTGTTTAGGGCTTTGTCTAATTGACTTTGTAAAGGATTCATATATAACAGGTCTTAAAATGTTTCACCAAGGCTTGTAACATTTTCTCAGCCCGTGCAGATCATTTAATCCTTCATCGGAGCTAAAACGGCAAATTAATTATACACATAGGCCTACACTGAAAAAACTAACGTTGACTTTAATGACATGTATAATGTCAACACATTTCACATAATATTAGGTTAGTTGAAAGCAATACTGTTAAACATTTTTTTATTTCAAGTTAATAGTATTGCTTTCAAGTAACCTAATACAGTTATGTGAAATCCGCTGACATGTAATTCAAGTCAACATTTTAGTTTTGTTCAGTGTAGGATTTGCTCTGTCCTATAGTGTGTGCGTGCACTGAGGCAGACAGGGTTTGGGGTTAAATTCCTCATGTATGTTGCTCCAGTCAAAGCTCCGCCGGATCTAAGCTTCATGTTGTCATTTCATCCAGGAAAGTGTTTCACATTTCCCTTAATTCATAGCTGCTGACAGAATTGTATGTGGCGCCCACTTCCCTTCACTCCCTGCAGCGCGAAATCACGGAGCCAGCCTGTGACAGATAACACATACAAGACATTTACATCACTTACTAGTCCATGCATTTCCATAAAGACTCCCCTGTCTGTTCCTGTGGCTGTTTGACCGTAAACAGCAGCTCTGAGCCCATTGACGGACACTTGGAAGTCCAGTGAGAACATGAGAGGCACAGCAAGTGGAGGGCATCCTGCAGGGTGAACTTCTAGGCGCATATGTAATGGGTATTTTATTTTTCACACTGTGTACCTGCGGCCTTTACATAATGTGATCAGTCTAGGTGAGGAGTTTTTTATAATAGCAGTGAATACTCCCCTATTCAAGTTCACCCGGAATTGAAGTTGCAATTTATAGATGCAAAGAGTACATTTAAAGATAACATTTATATAATATATAATAAATGTGGTGAAATGAAAAGTTTATATTTTGAGCGAGAACAGGAAGTAACCGAAATATTAAAGGATAATACTTTTGCTATTTTAAGAATAATACTCATGTGATGATGAGCAAATAGGAAATATAAAAAAAAGAAAGAGGGCTCGTCATATTTCACAGGTTATTGACAAACATTTGTCCTCATAAGTTTGTGTGTGCAGAAAACTAAATATGTTACGTTTTTTTCTTTTTTGTTGGTGCGTCTTCGTACTGCTTTCTCCTGCCTGCACTTACACATCGGCAAGAAGTAAATGATTACCTCTTGGTTTTGAAATCATGTATTTATTTTCACTATGAATTAGCATTATTTCTGAATAAAAGTCTTTGTTTAGGGGTAGTTTTTTGTCTGCGTTATATAAGGGCTTTCAGTTTTTATGTTAATAAGTGTTGGTAATTTATAGCTTGTTGTGTAGTTTCTGATGGATTGAGATTGTGTGTTTCTGTTCTAAGAATCATGTTTAAAGCCTATAGTCACCCAGAAAAGTGTGTGTGTGTGTGTGTGTGTGTGGTGTGTGGTGTGTGTGTGTGTGTGTGTGTGTGTGTGTGTGTGTGTGTGTGTGTGTGTGTGGTGTGTGTGTGTGTGTGTGTGTGTGTGTGTGTGTGTGAGAGAGAGAGCATGCCTGTATAGAACATTAAAGTCACATGAGGATCACATTTCTGTAGTGGACTTACACTGGCGACTCTTTCTAACATTATTACATCACTCAAAATAATACATCTCTACTACAGCCCAGTGTTCTGGCAATTTATTAGAGAAATGTTGACCATGTGGACTCAATGTGAATGTGGGTCATAACAAAAGTACTTCCTCTTAACATCAATAAAATAAAAAGATTAGACGAATTTAAATCGAACCGCGCCTCACGGTCAGCCAAAACATATTTTTTCTGATTTTAGGAATTTTGATAATTTTGCCATAATTCACAGGACATCTCTCAGACAATTCACAACGGGCAATTCCCTTGTTAATTCATTAATGTTTATCATTAAATAAAACTTTAGCATTTTTGTAAATGCTAAAAAACGATGTAAATGTTAGGGTTTCCTGGTTTGCATCTTTTTATTATGTAAACTGAGTATGGGTTTGGACTTTTGGTTGGTTATTTAAAAAAATCACCTCATACCACTTTGTAGCACTTTTTTAACAACAATAAAATACAACACATTGACATTGCCCAACTTGCCTATAACCTCTTTATAAATGTAAAGGTTATCAAAAGATAATATTACTGATGTTGATTTTATATGTTTTTCCTCACCATAAAGCAAGATTTAATAATTCTAATCAAAAGCCACTACATTTGAATAGATTAGATACATTGCTTGCTGGTTTACAAGGCATTGCACATGGGTTACAAATAAAATAAAATGTATCAAATTAGAAACCATCATTAACAGTGACTATATATTTACATTTTAACAACAAAAAGTTACATGTCTACTACAGAGTATCAATAGATAACACAATAAAACATATACAGAATAACTTAGAATACACAAGTAATAGAAACATTTACTAACACAACAAAGGACATGGGTCCTTGGGTTTCATTTTCTTATAATTGTTTTTGCATTAAGCTTTAATTGATTTCATGTTAATGGACAAATGGCGGTGATAAGATGTGTGATGTAAAATGCTGGCCTCTCATCATGTGCCCACTCTCTCCGAACAGCAGCGGGCAGGAGGCGGGGCCGGCAGACGTACAGCCGCTACCAGACCCTCGAGCTGGAGAAGGAGTTCTTGTTCAACCCGTACCTGACCCGGAAGCGTCGCATCGAGGTGTCGCACGCTCTGGCCCTGACAGAGCGGCAGGTGAAGATCTGGTTCCAGAACCGGAGGATGAAGTGGAAGAAGGAGACACACAAAGACAAGTTCCCCAGCAGCAAGAGCGAACAGGAGGCGGTGGAGAGGGAGAGGAGGGAGAAAGAGTTGCGGGACGGAAGCGGAAGTGGCGACGGTGGAGGTGGTGAAGAAGGAGGAGGTCCGGCTGTGGTGGTGGGGAACAGCGGGGGGTCACAGGCTTCTGTGAGTGAGGATTGCTGCGAGAAAACGCAAATGTAGGGAGGAGAGTGTTGGGGGGGGTGTACAGGAGGGGATTTTTAGTCTTAATTGAGGCCATTGGACTGCTCCACTGTCTCCACAATTCAATTGATGGAAAGGAACTTGGGTCTCCAAAATGGCGGCTGAGGATGGACAGGAGGGGCCAAACGCCTCTGAAAAAAAGAAGCAAGAAAGTGAACAAAAAAAATAGAAGAGAGTGGTGCAGGAATCAGTCCTGAAACCCAGAAATTAGTAAACATTTTAACACATCCGGTTCCCTCATCTTGACGTCAATGGTGTTTTTGGTTAGATGCCTGAAAATAAGATCTGTGGTAGCGTAAGAGATGTTCACGTTTTGTTCTAAAACAGTTTTGCATTTACGCTTCAAAAATCATAAAGTGGTGTTAATATGTGGAGGTTATCCTGCTGAACAAATCGTGTAAGGATCAAAAATGTGTGTTTGCCACAGATCTTTTTTTGTCAATATTGCGAAATCCAATGGAAAATGCCCATTGATTTTTGTCGAGGGAGCCCTTGTGATGCTAACTTCCGGTCGGCTTACAAAAATGCCTCATTGCTGCACCACTCTATTAATGAGGGCGTCCAACAAGCATAGTCTACTCTAGTGTTTAAACAAAACAAAAAAAATGATAGCTTCCTTTCTTTGTGGAACAATTATCGTGGAAACATTTCTATATTGTTAGAAGTTTATCATTAACAATTTTATCTTTGGCAGCTGTATAGTTTTTAAGTTAAAAAATGATGATGGTGCACTTTTTACTGTACTTCTTCTCACTTGTATGTTGTTGTTGTTATGGCAATGATTGATTGATGCTGATGATGATAATGATGATGATGACGTAGCAATTAATGACATTTCCAACAACAGGAAACTGCCTATTTATGCCGTTTTAGTAGGTCTCTTTTTTACACACTCTAATTGTCGTTTTAGTTCGTTTTTTGATCGATGGTGTTTGTTTTATGTTGTCTTCTTTTTCTCTTTTTGGGTAAAAAGCATGCGCACAGTGCAGAATAAAAAAAGAGAGAACATTCATAAAAATAAAAACGAGGAAAAATCTAATACAATTGTGTTATGCGTTTAATATGGTGCGAGGTTCTGGTATGAGTCGAGATTAATTTCACGGTATTATTTCAATTTCTTACAAGTATCAATAAAGATGGAGACATCAGTGGTCTTAGCCAATATCAACTCATAATCAGAAAGGATTGATTTCCTTTTGACTTTAATCTGCATTCTTCCACACCTTTTCCATCACCATTCTCCTTTCCTCTCTGTCAGCACCCAGACTGATAAAACTATTCAGTTCACAAGGCCACACATTTAAGCCTCGACTCGGAAATCTCCTCTTAAAATAACAGACGTCCCCCCCCTCCTTCCCCCCATACACCACACCCGTCCACACACACACATCCTACATCCTATCCAAACACCACTTTATTTATGGCCCGGTCCTCCACCTCCACTTACATTATTACAGGCCTCTATATTCACTATTACACTGCCTTCCATCATCATCACGATGACGACTTGAGGATTGTTTCCATCTGGAAGGATCAAACACTCTGCATATTCATGCATGCATATCCATCTTCATGCATTGGACTTCAGTTTGTTTCCCAGACGTTAGGGGAATCCCCAAAGCGCCAAATATTCTGATCAGGTTTCCAGGCATTATTTGGGAAACAGACGTTTTGTTTAAGCCTGTACAACAGTGTGTGTAGTTTGCATGGGAGCAGTCTCTGCCTCTGTGTACACACAATCTGTCTCCGCCAAAACATTAAGATAAGAATGTAGCCTACAATAATTCAATGCGGTTGTATTTGACATTGATGTTGCAGGCCTATACAACTATAGTTCTTGTTATTTTGACATTTTAACAGACAGTTAGGAGTTCATGACAGAGTGCAACTATGTAATTTTTCCACTTAAACACATTTAAGGGATTCACTACAGATTCACTACAGATTTAAAAGGAATAATTAAATACAGTTAAGTCGAAGATTAGAGACGTTGGTCTTCAAGTTCAAAGACACTTGGATTTTGAGCTGCAAATAACCCTGATGACATCACAGGGTTATTATAGCCTGCAACTGTTTTCATTGGCTGGGTAGCACTCCTGTTGATGAGTAAACAATTGCCCCTTTCATTCCAATGGCTATCTTTATAAAATGCCACATTAGTCAGCAATAGAACAGAAAGTACTCAATATATTTTCCTCGATGTCCAACAAACGCTGTAAAGACATAGGCATGCCTCCAATGTCTGACAATGAGACAGTGTTACTAGGCTAAACATTTTTATGCCGGGCGCCAATGGACCACCATGGGAGCACAATAGCAAATGCTGGCATATTTGCATTAAATCAAATGCCAACATTTCAAATGACATTAATTAAACTAGAGGTTTCGCTGCATTCTCATCAACTCAATTATTAACTATATGATATAGAGTGAACGCCCAAAAAAATTATTAAAAAAAAATCCCTTCTATGAATATAGTCCAATGGACATGTGATTTTACGCACGGAATAAAATTATGTTCTTTGTTCCAACACAATTTGCCATAAAAAAAAAAGAAATTATCATTTACTTTATTTGCCATAAGTGAGGATGGCGCTGTCTTTCACTGAAACAAACACCATTCAATTTCTCCAAATGTGTCCCTGAAAATCACTGGATTTTTACGCAAGCGTAACATTTACGCACGAGTGCTTAACGTTATTGGACTACTCGAGTATTTCCTAGCGATTTTACTGCTGCGTGTGGGAAAGGCCAAAAGTCACGGGAACATGTACGGATTTTACTCAAGGACCTGAGCACCTGCATCAGGATTGCGGTCGAATAGTCCCAAAAATCAGCTCCTAACGTCTATCTATCCCTTGACCTCTGTGTGAAACGTCATGGGGTTAATGGATAGTGGATAGGAGAATTCAAAAGGACTTAGTACTTAGACTGCAGTAGCCTACTTTAGAGAATCCAACTGCACTTTCACTATCCGACGTGTTTATGATGCGCCAGCGGACCTCATAAATGTGCGTCTGCTGCTGTTGGGAAACTATGGAAACTACAGTTTTCTGTACAGCGGACTACAACATGGATGTTTAATAAGAACGAGGGACTGTAAACTCATCTAGAGACTCTGCACCGTGCTCTGATGCTGTTGTTTTATGCTTTATGAACGGGGACAACAGAGAAACATATTCTTCATGACCAAAGTTGGAATTGAAATAAAAAAGGAAAGTGAAACTTATGCTCGTCACCCTCTCCCTCCGGTCCACATTAATACAAATGATCCCAATACGTATGATTGTATGAACTATGAAAAGATCTTAAAATCAATACAAATGTATTTATTATAAACGTTAGTCCTTAACATCTATCACTGTGTATATCACCATTCAAACATCTTTTAAAAGTTGAACAAACCCCACACAGCTCAGTAAAGACTGTGAAATGTTGACTTTATTTGATCATTTCAGTAAAAACTAACGTTCATATTTCTCTTTTTGATTATAATACTGATGAACGTTCAAAACAAAGCACTTTGGCAAGTTACCACATACGTTTTAAAATGCTAAATAAGCACCGTAACTTTCATGATATCATTTCTCGGTCATAATCGGTTGTTTCCGTGAACGGCCGACTGTTGTGTGACGGCAAATGCTGCGGCTGCAAGGCATTGTGGGGCAGCATTTTCTCCTCTCCTTTCGGTGAGGGAGGTCCAGTGGTTCCTAAGCTAAAGGAGGTTATAAAGGAAGTTTGAAACCTCCTTTCCTATCATCTAGAGAATTGGAACGGCACTTGAGGTACTTCCGGGTCATTTCACTCCGTTAGGAAGGTTCCTAAGCTAAATGGACTATTCGACTGCAACCCAGGTGAGTTTCCTCTACCTGAGGGGAGGATCCACATCATTCGTGAACTCGTAGGCGGGTGTGGTTTATCTTGAATGGCCTTCAGAGTGGAGACTGTGGGTGTTTCTCAATGTCGAGTAAAGCTGCTTCAGAGCCACTATTTCAAGCATACTACGTCATCGAGTGCCGCCGAAGTACTGTTCCAATCTCCAGCATACTTGGAAATCTACCGAGCCCGGCGTACTCCGTTTGGAGAAATATCGAGGCTGCACATGAGTAGACTCCGCGGTCTTAAAATCCCCACAATGCTTTGCGCACGGACCAATTTCCAAAATCTGTGGCGAAAAATGTAAGGCGGGGCCTCTCATATGACGCACACCTGCACACTTGCTAGCGTGTTCCACTCTTCGTTTTCCAGATGCTCGGCAGACATGTGCTACCCAAGCAAGCGTACTCGCAATTGAGAAACACCCACAGTCAAGATAAAATATGTTTCTTCTTGTTTTTTGTAGGACATCGTGCAATGTGTTTCCAACATCATCCCTTTGATGTTTACAACACTGGTTTGCTAAGCGTACAGCTTCAATGCTTCTCATTGTTGAGAAATATTAACCTGGAATGCGTTAGATTTAGAGGATTATTTAGATTAGGTGGAATCGGGCTTCATGTAGCTGCAGCAATGCTTTATCGTGGGCCAGTGGCGGCGCCAGGGGGTGCTAAAGCACCCCCCAGGATAGCCATAGCACCTCCTAAGCACCCCCAATAAATGTGTGTGTATTTCTGAGGCACACGTTTATATGATCATTATAGGTATAAAAAAAAATAAGAGCATATATGAAAAACAGGTATGAAATACTATAAGGCAGTAAAACAAGAATACAGTTTAAAAGGGGAGTGATTTGTAAAATATCCATAAAGAAATAGAAAATCTGCTTACAGGTCTGTTTCATATGGGTGTTGAGAGATGTATCCATAGATCTCTTCATGTTGCTCTCAAAGTGCACCAGATTGATGCTTTTAACTTCAATATTTAAAAAAAAAATCTTCCCGGGGGAGCATGCCCCCGGACCCCCTTAGAGGATGTGAGGTCCACTCCCCACTTATAAAAAAAATAGTACTTTACCCCTGCTTACACCTATATGTCGGCCCGTGAGCTGATTATCGAGCCTTCATTAATGTAACAGTCGCGGGTAAACTGTGTATGTGCGTGTGCGTTCAAATTCAACTGTAGCGCCCGGGACATTAATGGGAAACCCTAAATGTTTGAGCACCCTCTATGAAACGTCACCCCCAAAAGAAAATCTCTGCCACTGTCGTGGGCAGTTTTGCAGAAACTCCTGTGAATGCAGTGAGCAGAGGCGTCACACTGTAGTGGCAGCACACAACAGAATGTTTTGTTCTGCTGAGTGGGGTCCTTTCTTCTGCATGTGTGGTCTGCAAAGTAAAAGATCTCCTCTCTAAGTCTCTTCGCCAGTTTTACGCATGTGCCTGGAGCCATTCCATTCCCAGTCCAATC